CAATTTTATACAAAGACAGCAACTGAAATCTCTCAAAAATAAAGGTCAGTCTAGATACTTTAAAATGGAAATTTAAGCATCATATGTAATGACGACCATGTAAAAGAAGGACAATACCTTTCATCTCGAGTCTTTAGACAAGGACGACGACATGAAAACCATAATGCAGCTGGCGCTAGTATGGGTAAATAGGATAGTGGCGGAGGCCCTACACAGGATAAACTCAAATTTATTGACATGGAACATAGAAGGATTACGTAATAAGTTACACACATTTGATATTGCTGAAATGCTGCATTCGTATGATTTTATTTCTTTGCAAGAAACTTGGGATGTAGATACGAGTTATTGTGAAAGCTATTTCTGTAACCATGTTATGTTTTCATTAAATGCAAAGAAATCTTCTTTTGGTGGAAGACCTATGGGGGAGTAACAGTGTTTGTCAAAGCAATCATTGCTTATGCAGTTAAACGTGTGAAAGAAGACTTCACTCAATCAAACCGAGTCTGCAATTCTTATGGTAATTTTGTTTTGATTAATGCTTCCGAGGGATCACTTTGTTTCCAAATTTTTGTGTCGCCTCTACGGAGTAGTGGCGACATATAGGGATCACTTCTCCGTCGTCTGTCTGTCCGTCTGTCTGTCTGTCCGTCCGTCCGTCACAAAACTTGTCCGGACTACTCCTCATAAACTACTGGTGCAATTTCATCCAAACTTTACAGGAATGATCAGTACCAAGTCTAGTTGTGCATATTGTCAGCATTTTCCGGTTCAATGATTTTTGTCAGAGTTATGGCCCTTTAATAATTTTTAATTTTAAAGTTTGTCCGGACTACTTCTCTTATACCACTAATGCAATTTCAATGAAACTTTACAGGATTGATCTGTAGCTCAAGTCCTTGCGCATATTGCACGGGTTTTCCGGTTGAATGATTTTTGGCCGAGTTATGGCCCTTTGATAAAAAGGTGTTTTTTTTCTGTGTGTTGCCAGATACACAAAAGCTTGTCCGGACTACTCCTCATAAACTACTGGTGCAATTTCATCCAAACTTTACAGGAATGATCAGTACCAAGTCTAGTTGTGCATATTGTCAGCATTTTCCGGTTCAATGATTTTTGTCAGAGTTATGGCCCTTTAATAATTTTTATTTTTAAAGTTTGTCCGGACTACTTCTCTTATACCACTAATGCAATTTCAATGAAACTTTACAGGATTGATCTGTAGCTCAAGTCCTTGCGCATATTGCACGGGTTTTCCGGTTGAATGATTTTGGCCGAGTTATGGCCCTTTGATAAAAATGTTTTTTTTTCTGTGTGTTGCCAGATACGCAAAAGCTTGTCCGGACTACTCCTCATAAACTACTGGTGCAATTTTATCCAAACTTTACAGGAATGATCAGTACCAAGTCTAGTTGTGCACTGTCCGTCTGTCTGTCCGTCAGTCACAAAATTTGTCCCAACATGAAATTGGCCATCACGAGGCGACACATGTGATTACTGATCGCTCTTGTTATACTTCACAACAGCAGGTGTCAAGTGCTGTGTGGCAGCTGTAAAAAGTTGCCCCGTACTTCACTTCAGTGTTGTTATATTTTTCTGGTCCTTCGGGATCATTGATATATCATTGAGAATTGAGTACCGCTCAAGCCGGTGCTATGGGGCGTGAGTGATGTTGCACTTATTCATCATCCCTGATGTACAGACTCAATCAAACCGAGTCTGCAGTTCTTATGTAATTTTGTTGTGATTAATGCTTCCGAGGGATCACTTTTTTTCCAGATTTTTATACTTCACAACAGCAGGTGTCAAGTGCTGTGTGGCAGCTGTCTCCAGATTTCAATATGGCATTGTTCTTATCATTGACAAAACATTATTTTCACTGGATACTGATATGCTTTATGTAACTTTATATATTCCACCTCATAATTCCCCCTTTTATGATAATGCCAGTATATCTGGTTAACAACAATTAGAACATATGATAAACAAGATCAACAAGGAAAGGCGGCGTTCAATGAACGCAACCCCCACATGACCCAGCAACAAGAACCAATGGCAAGGAGCCCAGGGGGACCCCAAACAAAAACAGGACAGGGCAAAGACAGAGCACGGACAGGTTATTCATTAAATGATAATTAATTTGTAACTGATTAGGAATTCAAAGAAAATAAAAATAGGCCCACAAAGGGGAAGGGGACAGGAGACCGGGGGAGGGGGTGGGGAGTAATCAAAGAAATAAAAACTAGAGGCAATGGGGAAGATACTTACCGTAGACGAGAAAACAACAAGGGACACAAGCAAAAGTGTCACCAAAACAGTATGAAACAACATAAGACATACATCTGAGGAACACAGTGGGGCGCCGCCTTGGAACGGTCAGCAGCATAATAATGACTGCTGGGGAGTTTAAACCGGTTAATGGTGCACCAAACCTCGCTCTTAGCCCCAACATAATTGTTAAGAATAAATACCTGGACTTTGAGCTTTTGTTGAATGTTGATTTGAATGCTCGCACAGGGAGTGCTGATGATTTAATATGTTGTTCCGAGAATATTCCAGAATTTCATGAAGTGAGAGATATGGTTACTTGTGAAATTGTGCTGAATCCTAGATCAGCTGACAAAGTTATTAACCAGTCTGGACGGGAATTATTAACTTTATGTAAACTAATTTATGTTATATAGCTAATGGGATGTATTCACCTTTATAAACAGCAATGGAAGTAGAACTATTGTCTACTTTATATTATCAAAAGGCTTGATTGACAACGCTTGTAAACTTGATGTTTTAAATAGAACTGAAAGTGATCACCTACCTCTAAGTTTAGAATTAGGTACCAGCAATAATTTGTACCACAAAGCTGCAATGAAGATCAGTCTTCAGTGGTGTATAATATGGACATAGATAATGCTGATGTCTATTTAAAAAACCTTTCAGAGAGTGCTATGGAAGGAAATTTGACCACATTTACAGAATGTTAAATGATCTAACTGTAAGTGTCATTGAGATTATTTCACAGACAGAACATATCATACAAGAGAATTGTGAGCCATTTAAAAGAATGAAGAAAAAGTATATACACAAAACGGGTAAACAATGGTTTGACCATGAGTGCAAACAAGCTAAATATTAAGAAAAACGTGAATAAAAACTTTTTCGGGCCACCCGATGTGAAAGAAATCTAATAAACTAATTAACTGTCCAACTTGCACACCGTCAAACCTTTTGCTTAAGCAATGGCTGACACAACGATCGCAAGCACTTGATATAATTCTTAAAATAGATAAATACAAAATCCCTAAAGAAAGCCCAACACGGCAAAATTGAAAATGTTGCAGGCTCGGTTTGATTGAGCCTGTTCATGGACGGTACTGGAAAGTGCAAGTTACCGTCCACGCCCCATAGCACCGGCTTAAGCAGAATTCAACATTTAAACATGAAATAGTAAAATTTTGAATTTAGAAACATCCGCAGATGTGTTCATACGGCGGTTATCAAAGACAGTTTTGAACACAGAGCGCAGTTACACAGGTAAACAGTTTTATACGAAAGACCGGTAGGGCCATTTCAACTTCATGAATTCCCGATTTCATCTTCATGAATTCACAATTGAAAATTCGTGCATCCCGTTTTGAATATTATTTTAAAATTATTTAGTTTCGATTTACTGCCTAGTTCATCCTGAAACTGGGATAAAGTTTTTTTTTCTAAATGCTCTCATTCAGACTCCAAAACAAAATCTATCCCATTTTCAGACTTAAACCAGATAGTAAAACGAGTACAAGTACAAAAGTCAATTGTTGGTACGATACATATTTTTTGATTTTCTAACAATTTCTTAGAAAAATAAAAATATCTTCGAGTCGACAAAAAGAGGGAGCCTTTTGCATGTGTGCGATGAGGTAATATCCTACCATTGACCTTGATATATTGCAAAATAGGCTTCAAGACTTTATATACAAAAAGGTAAAGTTTTACGGAAAAAAAATCGTTATGATATTGAAATCAACTAGAAGCGCTTTGGACTACTTTGGATAATTCTTTATGTATCCGTCATGAATAAAATATTAGAAAAAAGTTACTTTACTTGTCCTTTGTGTTTAAATAAATATCATGTTTGCATGATTTTCGCTCACCCTAAGCTTGATTTTTTTGTAAAATATGACGGGTGCAATATACATACCCCTTTGTATTTGAACAATATCTTGTGTCTACGTGCGATGTTACCATTGTTTATTTTACACACTTTATATTAATACACATGCAGTATCACGATTAATTGTCATTGCACGTTGTTGATTTTTTTAATGACGTGTATGTACCGATACATGATGATTACGATGAAACCCATTATAATTGTCTGCATCTTAACCGGAAGTTATGTACATTTTACATCAACAAATCTTGAAATGTTGTCTGTTTATGTCACAGGTTTACAAATTTACCTTATAGTATAACATCCCTATATCCCAAATATATACTAATTATCTAAATTTCAGCAGTATGCCGTAACTTTGTAAATCAACTACTGATTTACAATAACTCTATCTTTTCACCTTTCCTCTTTGCTATTCCTTTGTTATTTAAATGATTTTCTATGACGTATATAAGTTTGACCAATAGGGTCAATTAATCAATATGTTTTTGAAAGAAAATAAGATTGTACTGTGTACGTTTGGTTTATATAACCTTAACTTAAATCATTTAAATTAATTATAATAAAAGGAATGTATTTTGCTACAGGTAATTCTCTTCTCTTGCAAGAAGATGACAACGCAGAAATAAGATACGCAGAAATTTACAACCTCTTTTTGTAACAAAAAAATGCTGAATAATAATACCGCTGAAAAAAGAACTTATACGGTATATACATAAACAGATTGTACAGGAGTGAACAAGATTTGGGTACAATTAAATGAGATTACAAACCGCATGTTACCATATTTGGTTACTATTATAATGATATTTGATATTAAGGTAGTGTTTTGTATAGATATGAAGAAAAGATTAATTTAAAATAATATTCTGTACCTTTCGGTTGTACTGTGATTATTCTCAATCCGGTTTTGAACTATGGAAGTGATCGACGTCAGGGTACCAGTTAAATGTTTTCCGCGGTTTCAGTACATGCTAAACAGAAGAAATGATTTGTCTGGACGATATAACATATTGATGAGAAAGTATAAATTAGACAACTGTACACTAAACGCGGTTAATGATGACAATATCCGTATCTTGTTTTGTAAATCAGTTAATTCAAAAAACCTTTTTCCAAGCATAGAATTAGTTGTTCCAAGATATCTTGACACTATTAACAAAAGGATATATATCAGCAGCAATTTCAGAGAAGGACTTACTTTAACAGGTGACAAGTGCTTTATACTTTTAATTGGTGGAGATACTTTGACATATGACCATTTGAAATGGCTTGAAGGCTTGCCTGTAACTACTATTTTGTTAGGAAAGGACATCAAAGAAACAAGTATTTTATCAGATATAATACGTGGTCTCAGAAACATCGACGTGTGCCTAGAAGAAAATATAAGTACAGTACTGACAAAGCATTTAGAAAGAGATGCCTTGACGGGAATGAGGGATGCCTGCGACAATTTGAATTTTTTACTTACAGGTAAAAGTGCTGGAGAACTTGGTGTATCACAAACAAAACAAAAGACCAAAGGTTTGTTTTCACGTTTTGATTTGAGTATATTATTACTGTCTATATAATGGGTTGAAATAGGTATTTGTTAAAAATTAGCTTTTATGACGGGTTGTCATATTGTTTCTTTTGTACTAATAATATGCACAGATTTAATGTTTGTCAATATGCATTAGAATTGAAATATGACGAAAATATCCTTTTAAGGCATTTAATTGATGGTGTAGGAGAAATACATGTATTTAAATATTTTTTTATTAGAATACATAAAAATACGTCAAAGAATATTAAATCTTTCCAGAGTCGAAATTATATTTTAACCGACACGATTTTTATTAAGATTTATTAATATCATTTCATGGACAAAAATATACTTAACATGAGACAAAACATACAAAAATAGGGACAAATAATAATGATTATCACATTATCATTGAAGAGTATCATTGTAGATAGTGATGATACGTATTTACAAACTATATACATTTTCCGTATGTTTGCGTTTGATCTTGCATACATGAAAACACTTAAAACCCGAATTTATATCAGTCAATGGCTTTATCTAAAACATGTTTGTTCTTGTCTGAGGATTGCTCATAACTGCAGTTCAATTGTCAATACTTGGTGCTTAAAGGAGCTATACTGAGGTTTTCAGGATTGGAAATAATCATGCTTGCATTTTCATATGTGAGTTTCATTGAATAGGTCTACAAAGCATTTTAAATATTGATAAAAACAATGAAATGCATCATTTGGATCTTTATACAAAAAATTGATTTGAAAAAAATATTTTTGTTCTAAATGATTTAGAATGAACATTTATACGATAAATAATAATATTAAAGTGTAGACCATTGCATTATCTGCTAAATAAATCTATTGGGTCATCTATTTTGACTTTGCCAATAACTTCCCTCTCTAGTGGCTTCTAGTTATGTCTAACATTAAATATTATCAACGTAAACGTTATAATAGACCGATACATTTTAAACATAACAATACAACTATTATAGGCATTATCAATAAGAACCCAAATATTGGTTTAATTATTCAGTGATAACATTATAAACAATCTAAAGCAAAAATAAACAGTGATGATAAATCAAAATGTTAATAACTTTGTATTCTTTATTTAAGGAGAGATAATTCGTGGTTCTGGGGATATAAAGTTGATAAAACAACGCGCGTTATCAGTAGGACAGGGCAGTATGTTTTTCTGTCTCTCTCAATAATTCCTTTTGTTCGAAAGTCTAGTAGTATCAAATGAAATAAATTCGCCTTATAACGCGAGACCCGGAAGGCCTAATAACGCAACACATAAGGCGTTAATACCATATTAATGCTAACAAAGCAGTCTGAAGGACAGCTAAATCCCCTTCCACAGTAAATATGAATGTGTACTTCTTGACATTTTACCAAACATGACCTTGATGTTGTGCCCTGCATAACATTAGCTGTTGATCTCTTCAGATTGTGTCATGATGAGGATCATTTGTGCCAAGTAATTTTAAAACTATTATATTGTCAATAAGTAATAGAGCGGACATGAAAAATATATGTTTTTTACATTGGACTTCTGAGGTGACCCTGACCTTCAGGGTTTTGACTAGATAATTGTGCTCTGCCAATACTGTCTCATACTGGCGATTATTATCTCAAAAACATTGCAACGGTTGAAATTTTATGGACAGAAACAAAATGTTAACTCTTTAACATTTGTCCCAAAAGTGTGGCCTTGACCTTGGTGTAGCAATTTAATTATTGCGCTCTGCACATCGTCTCATAATGGTGATCACTTGTGCCAAGTGATTTCCAAAAACATTTCAGTTTCAGAGGTTTAAATGTTATGGAGGGGACATGTAATGTAGACTTTTATACATTTGACCTTTAAGTGTGACCATGACCTTTGAGGTAGCAACCCAACTATTGCTCCCTGCACATGTTATTTTAATGGTGATCAATTGCGCCAAGCTATCTTTTAAAATTTCAGTGGTTAAAAAGTTATGGAGCAGACACAAAATGTAGACTATTAATTATGAAAATGAAGATTTTTAACGTTTGACCTTTAAGTGTGATCTTGATTTTGGGGGTAACAACTCAATAATTGCGCTCTGCACATCGCCTTATTATGATGATCACTTGTGCCAAGTATTTTCAAAAAGTTTTCAGCAGTTTAAAAGTTATGGAGCGGGCACAAATGTAAACTTGTTGTTATGAAATGAAGACTTTTTAACATGTAATCTTTAAGTGTGACCTTGACCTTTGGTGTGGCAACCCGATTATTGCGCTCTGCACTTCGTCTCATTCATATGTCATTATGGTAATTGTTTGTGTCAAGTTATTTAAAAAAATTCATCGGTTTAAAAGTTATGGAGCGGACACAAGAGTGTTACGGACGGACATACAGACATACTGACCAATACGGACTGACAGACGGATGCAATTCCTATAATCCCATTTCAGCTACGCGGAAGGGGATTAAATAAAATGGCTTAGTAACGTAAAAAAAAAAGATGAACTATATTGATCTGAATTAATTGCTCAAGCTATTATATATGTGTATTGTATTTTTGATTATCTACGGATACATCTTAACGTCTGATTTTTATCTCTTATTAGAAAATACCTTCATCCAAGAAGGAGTAAATTATCACCCGCCTTTAAGATTTCCCCCTAATTTGAACAGTATTTACTTTCAAAGATAATGTCTTGTTATTATGTATTACCTTAACAGTTTCACCCTTTTTGGCTTACTTTTTATATAACTGAAATAAACTTTCACCATAATGTGATTTACCAATACCTTATGTTTTTCCAGATCTGTTTTTATAGCCTAATTAGGAGTCACTGTCACGTAACTATAAAATAGTATCAGGTAATTAGGTAATTACACAAGCCATATCAGTAGATATTTGAAAATATGACGCACATCATAAGATAAGAAAAGGTTTGATAAGACAAGCTGATCTATTTATTTACTACAGTGACATGTGTAGTATCATTAATATGATACATGTGAATAAAGAGTAACTGCCCAGGCCTAAAAGACCTATAAGGCAAAAAATATTGACAAATATCAAAGATTCGTCATTAGCGTATAGTATTACTGCGCAAATCGAATGATATAAATTGTAAATGTAAACTATATTGTTATATAGATCTTGAACAATTAATTCAGATCGCGTTGCCAATTCATTTGATTAGAATTAATATGGTATTAGATTAACGTTATAACGCATTCTGGTTCGCGTTTCAACGCATTTGTTTGCGTAATTACGCCTTTAATTTCACGTTATACGCCTTTTTTAGTTATTACATGTATTACGCCTTTACATTTTTAAATTGTATTTTATTTTATACTTTTAAGCTTTCGTAGTTTTGTACATTGTATATAAGGTTACTTCAAAAATAAAATGAATATTTTTTATTATGTATTGTAAATCAGCTTTTCATGATGTACCTCATCTTCATCTATGTTTTCAGCCAAAGACGATTCAAATAGATGTTCAATCCGACTTGGCCCGGCCAAAAATAAGAAAGAAAGTTTGTATGATGCAAAAATTGGAAGAGGTATGTGAATCTAAGAAGGAAATTGAAATTATCGAAATTAAATTTTGTGTTTACAGCAATAGTATGATTTGAAATTGTTTTGTTTTAAGTTTCAGAACAGAGTCAAATTCCTACAGATATTCCAGAAGCAGACTTAAATGTAATTGAACGTCTTCATGACGAATTCGTTGGTACATTCAACAGGAGTGTTCTTCCTGAAGACGAAAAACCTTATTTTGCTGACAAGTTGTACACGATTGATAAAACGGTTGGTTTAATACCTTTTGTTCTATAACGATTACCTTACTATAACACTATCAGTACACATATATACAAAAAAAAACACAGAGAAGAAAAGATGCAATAACCGATATAGTCACGCGGGAGCTTCGATGCACATTTCGTAATATCACAGTGTATATCCAGTAACGCAGGAATGCGCAGATAACACAGGAATTGTGCAAAAGTAACGCAGAATTGTGCAGTTTAGTGGCTAAAACGAGCACCGTGATAAGTAAATGGACCAATATTTTTATTGAACACCAAATTGGAAGAAATGAATCGGCGCATACGGTTGCTGATATATTATATTCTAAACCTCTTAAAAAAATATTTCCATGAACATGTTTATTTTTCAAGATCATTCGTGAAAATGACGACCTCATTAGCGTAATGATGGCAATTTTTAGTTTCCTTGATATCTTTAAATACAATAACATACATTTTACTATATATTTTTTTTTATATTCTGTGTACCTGAGACATTTTCCAAACTCCTCGTGTCATATTACACTTAATTTAGCAGATCAAACGTAATTGAGACCATTTTTACGAGGTAACGACGAATTCGTGAATGGAGCACGTGAGCAACAGCGGTTATCTCATTAGAAGTAGCTAAATCCTATTTTACAAGCTTCCTCCTATTCTTTCACGACACTTGCAGTTTGACAGATGTCTAAGATATACAGAATATGAAGGAAAAAAGTTTTAAATGTGTTAAAAGTACATATTTATTTGACGAAACACAAAAGTCAGCTTCAAAACAGTCATCAGGTTGTCTTTCTCACGAATGATCTAAAAAAAAGTAAACATATTCCTGAAAAAAATATGTAATACTGGTTAAAGTATAATGTCATTGTAGACGTATGCGCTAATTCATTTCTTTTAATTAAACTTAGAATAAGATAGTTTCGTTTGTTTACTTACTGTGTTATTCGTTTTGGCAATAGCGTAATACGCAAAATGCCCCCGAATCCGACGCATACTTTAATAGAATAAAAGAGCTAATGCACCTTTTCCGTGCACCTTGGACGTATCAAATTCCTCGCCCTGTACATAAATGATATGAACATGTATGAACATTGCAATATATGAATTATTTTGTAACATAAAATACAACATGTCTTGTCAAAATACATAGTGTACATCAAACTTTAGCGATGGTTTTCGTAGTAAAACCCTTTGTTTTGTTTTACAGTTATTGTACACACTTCAGAAGCAAAGTCATTCCATTGAAAGCATTGGATATCACTGCAGCACTCTCCAGGTTAATGTAAACTGCAATCCGATTTCAGACGAGCTTAAAAGAAGCGTCGAACGAATAATGGAATCATACAGCATTAAAAAATACACGATAGTCTCTTCGGGGGTACGGGATTACTTAACCTGTCATGTTGGTAAAGAAGTAAAAATTGAATATGAAAAGGGTAAATATTTTAATGGGACACTAGGCGGATTCGCTACAACCTCCTCGGGAGAATCTGAGCGTACCTGGGCAATCCTATCGAGACATGTTGTTAAAGGTAGTTTTGACATGAAGCTGTACATAGCAAATGACGAACAAACATATATTGGAAAGGTTATGAAAGAAGTAAAGGAAGAAACGGTTGATAAGCAATACCTCGATATCGCCGCTGCATCATTAGAAAGTGAAATATCATTCGATCCTAGGTACATTACTGAAGAAAAGGTCCTTGTTCCAGGAAAGCGATGTTTTTACGATGCCGACAGTCTAAGGGGTTTAAACGTACATATTAAAGGAGCTTCAACCGAACTAGGTCTTGGCACAATTACTATTCCGGAACAAATTGCAGTCCAAAACGACAATTTGGATGAGAACCACATTATTGTAGAAGATAGGTATGGAGGAAATGCTTTTTGTAAAGAAGGCGATAGTGGGGCGATAGTCTGTGCCGAAAATCCGGATAAATATGGAGAAGAGGTCCAGTTAATTTCAATGGTTATTGGAGAAAATATGAACAAAAAGGGTTCATATACTACGGTCAGACTTGACAAGGGGTTAGAGGAGCTAAAATCCTTAACTGGTAAAGAATTCCACATGTGTTAAATCAATAATTAATTGTACAAATTCTATACAGTTTTATGGTGTTCAAGGTTTGAGCTGTGGAAATTTGATTCACCTTAAATAGTCTTGGCAATCAAATAATTCATATATTACTTATCATTTTAATTGAATGCTCTATTGTTATCTGATTTACATTGTATTTACATTGTATTAATTTTCATATTCAACACTATAAAAAATTAGCTAAGAAGTGCCTGTAATTTCTAGAAGTCTTCAAATGGGAGCACGACAAAAAGCCTACAGACAAAACGCCGACATACAAAATGCTGACGGGACATAAGACCAACAAGTCAAAAGATTGATGCGACAAATGGTCGACAAAAACACTAACAAAATACCGATAAACATCGACACACCTGTACATCCCTCGGAAGCGTTAATCACAGAAGAATTACATGAAAAGTGCAGACTCTGTTTGATTGATTCTGTACAAGAGGGATATTGAATAAGTGCAACATCCCTCACACCCCTCGCACCGGCTTGAGCGGTACTCAATTCTCAACTTATAATAGTGCTAGCATCAATGATACCGAAAGACAAAAAGAATATAACAACACTGAAATAAAGTACGGGCTAACTTTTATCAGCTGCCTCACGGCACTTGACACCTGTTGTTGTGAAGTATAAAAATCTGGAATGAAAGTGATCCCTCGGAGTCAAAAAACAAAATATAAAGTGTAATACATCATTCTAGCGCTACAGCTAAACACTTTATTATAACAAACTCATGATTATAACAGAACACGACAACTTTCTTTCAAGTACATCAATATATCTATCAAATATAAAGTCAGACTGTTCTCTTGTTTGAGCGATTTTTCTGTAAATTCTAGATTGCGTGATGCCTAGCCTTTATAATGACAATATATCGTACACTGTTGCACAATATTCCCCAGGTTACAACAATATTGTCACAAAGCTTTATCTAACTTGTCATATTATTCCTCACGTGTCCTTTGTATATAGGTTTATGTTGGCATTTGGGACACTTTTTTATTTATTTTGTATTTTTATTTCTTGTTAAGAACAGATCCGGCATTATTTGTTTAACATAAGATATATGTTTTAACATAAGATATATGTCGACAAATAAACCTCACCCATATAAATTATTTACCGTAGTATCAGAACTTTTGTAGGTACCATATATTCATGCTTATTTATCATGTATACACATTATTTATAAAAATGAACGTTTGGCCTTAAGCCTTTCGAAATGCCACAACAGTGAATATATTAGAAGACTGTCGTAAATTGTAATTTGTTTCTTTGCCAGACGACGAATTCCCTCACCGGGTAAATAATGTTGACATTAATAATTCTACCGAAACCTTACTACCTTTAATACATAAATATCGATAAGAAGATAACGTTATATATGAACACAACTTGTTTTATTACAGATAAAAATATGTTTTGCCTTGTATTATAAAACTTGGATACACATGCGTTTACATGAATTGATAATTTTGCTCTTGCTTTACCCAGCAGCTATAACACAAGAAGTATCTTTTAAAACGATACTCAACCGAAGTTAATCGGTTTAACATGCAAAAGTATGCATTTTTAATACAAAAATAAAATGTTAGCAATGCTTTCATAACAATGTCATGATAATTATTTCTTTAAGCTATTAAGAAGTACCCATTTTGAAAACATTGGAATTAAATTATAGCAAATTTATATTGATGATTTTTCAAAGAAGTCTTTTATTTATGGTGTCCCTTTTTGTCTTGTTTGTTTTGGAAAAGGTGTTCCGGTTAGGTGGTTTCCTGCTTACATTTGTTAGTGCATGATTGAACGGGAAACCAGCTGCAATCGTGCCAAACGCAACTTTTCGGCCCCTTCCGTTACTCTTCGGATTAATGATAATAGCCGAGGTTGTTTCGATTGCAATCGTGACAATGCGGGCGATTCCGTCATACTGCGGTATCAGACGAAGTAATATTACGGAAATCTAAGCTATTTTAGTTACTTCGGTAATCCCAGTTTGTTTATATAAATAGGATTTCTATTTTTACTTGATTTATCGAAATTTTTCCGTTTCAATTCTTTTTCAAGACGCAAAATGATTGGTTTTTGTCTTTATTAGTTTTATACAATAGAGAATGGTTACTGTAGTAGTATTCCGTCTCCAAAGGGCAGTACTGCTTACTAAAAGATCGTGACCGAATCACGCAGAATATTAGTGCACGAGTTAAAACGTCTTGGTGAGGTAATCTCAAAATAGCCCATGCATATCATTAACCTTACCACGTGCTGATCTCCTGTGTTGTCCATAGATATTTTAGGTGTAACATAGTTGATACATGCTTATTAATTGGTACCACGTAACGAAGTCTTTTAGTGCATTTACTTGTCTCTAAAGCTGCAATATAAATGAAATTAGCAACTGCCAAAACGAATGACTCTCTCTGCGAAAAAAGTGGAAATGAAATGTGCACACTTGTTTCCCTTCAGTATGATAGATTGATCTCCACGTGAGAGCCAATGTTAGTATTTTTACGATTGATTATTTTCTTTATTAGTTTTTTATACAATAGACAATAGATTTCGAATCGTTTTTGACAAAAAAATATTCGTTTTTACAAAAAAAAAAGTTGCTACTGTTATTGTCAGCATGTTCCCGTTTGAAGTTATAATCAGTGGACTTCTGGTCCCTATTTGGTCCAAATTTGCACGCATAACACTGCTGCTCAAGCAAATGGGCACAGGTGCTCGTCCAGTCTTGGGCTTACCCTACCTCTGCCTTTAAAAGTGGAACTTTTTTTTTCGAGAGATAAATGATATACAAATACCGTAATGTAAATTGTGATAATAAATTGAAACAAAAAATATACAATTTTAAAGGGATGGGATGATGGCACAACTGAGCAAGCCTTTCCTTTTAAAAGGAAACTTTATACTTGTTTTACGATGACTTTATCAATTTTGTAATCATTTACAATTTAACCTTTAAATAAAAAAATACAATCCTTATTGCTGTAACATTTTATTTTAGAACTATCCTCTATACTTTATTTTATAGTGGCAAAACCATTCCTTTCATTTTATCATAGAGCTATCCTTAAAAGTTTATATTAGAAAGGTAAGAACTGTCGTTTACATTTAATTTTATAATGGTTAGAACTGTCCTTTATATTTTATTTCAGAATGAATAATGAGATTCACCGATTTTAATTTCTAATTTTAAAATGACCAATGAAAATCTTCTTATATTCAGTCCTTCCCTGTTAATTTTACAGGAAGTCAAACTGATAACAGACGGACTTCGTCTGAAAGAAAACAACAATTATTGCTCAATACTTCCATTTATATAAAACATCACATACTTCTTCTGCGAAATAAGCATTGTTCTGTTTAGAAATTTTAAATAATAAACAAAAATCTGGAAAAAGAATGACTCACTGGAAACAACGGCACCAACAATATATGAACATTGCAGACTCTGTTTAACTGAGTCCATTCATGAGAAAAATTGTAAAAGTGCATCAATTGTCACGCTCACTGGCACCGGCATAAGCGGTATACATATACCAACGATAATGTACTGGAATCAATGATCCCGCGGAACAACACTAAAGTAAAGAACGGGCCAACCTTTTACAGCTGACCATGAAATAGTCATATATTTTCCATGCATATAAAAATATTCATTCTCATTAAATACTGTAGCTGTAAAATTGACCTGCGGTCAAAATCAATTTAGAAATTATCCTGACAAATTGCTTCCAAGACTATCGTAGAAATAGGCATAAAATCTGTTAAGAGAAGTGCTGTGAAGGAAATGCACACTGTGATAGGCTATATGAAATTTATTATTTAAAATCAAATTGATTTAATTTCAAATTCAATTCCTTTGACATATTTCTGCATAATGTCAGTTATGTCTGATGACATATAAAGTGGTATTGATATATGTTCCAATAAAAACATATAAACTCGTAGTAGTACATTACATGTATATGATTTATCTTAACTTTTTAGGTGATGACATTTGTAAGAATAAAGTTAATGAGATATTCGACCGAGTGAAAAGCATGATTGTAAAGGAAATTTCTACCATAGCCATCGATATTACATAACGAATTAATTAACTCTTTCATAAAAACTTGTCTGTAAATGCAAAATTGCAAGGTACCTACATGTAGCTGTAACAATTTTAAAATTTCGTAAATTACTGCACTTATATATCAGAATGCCATAGTTGTCTTATCGTTTTATTTTTTCCTACTCCTAATTATTTTTGCAAAAAAAAGAAGAAAAAAATAAACAACAAAAACAATACAGTGATTGATACACACAACGATTTAAATCGGTTAAAGTGTTTTTCATCAAATGAAATGTACTGATAACTGACATTTTAATACTAAGTTTATCATTTCAATTTAAATGTACTGATCAATTATCGCAAAGCGTTACTTCGATAATCTATTGATGAAGCTCATTTTGGTCAAGGTTACAAAAACGGATACAGGTACAAATAATAAAAAAAAACGAATAAAGTAAAGAAAAATTAAATAATTTTAAATGTTTATTTCATGAGAGTTTATTTAGATATTAACAGGGAAATAAATAACAGGTCCTATATTTAACATAAACAGTCTATCTGAAGACATTGATACAAAACTTCATTTCAAAACTCTTATTTTTTTCTATTCAAATTCCTATTGATTGTTAAACTCAGACAGAATGCCATTTCAATTGTTCGGATGCCATCTGTATAAAGACCTACGACAGATTTTCAATTTTTTCGCGGCAATATTTTTTTCTTAAAATGGCCGATTGACTAAAAAGCCTTTTAAATTATCACAGCAATGAATATATTTGCAGACTGACCAGGTTTTTTTTAGAATTTTTTGTAATTCAGACGACAATGTCCTGCTTAACGTTAATAATGTTGGCATTAATTATTGCACTAAAATATTCCCTCTCTTAAACAAATAATTTATAAATGAAAAAAACCGTAGTTTCTTATCCGGTATACGAGATGTTTTTTTATTATTATTACATTTAAGTGTAAAATGTGCCATATAACTGATTTAATATAGCTCTAAATGGTTTGATTTTTAAATTTATAAAACAAAATCAGATGTGAAGCATCAGATTTTCAACAATTTTATGAGGGCTTTTTATTGGCCACTTAATCAATTCTCTCTTTTTCTTTGGCAAACTGCTGTAGAGTAGTGGTTTTATGACGTTTTGTTTGATATTTAGACGTTAAATATTGCTTATTCTATATAGGTATGTTATATTCTAATTATTATTAGGGCATTTATTATACATAAATTGATAGCTTCACGATCATTTCTACAAGCAAAAGTATAAGTCACATAGAGGATATTTGTTTGTTTGTGTGTAAGATGAAATTTTATTTCATCGAGTGGGCTTTAAAAACAGTATTCTCACGAGTGGCGTAAGTTCACGATATAAAATAAAATTACATCTTACACAACAAACAGACAAATTTTCTTTTCATTTTATGCTTAAAAACAAGTTAAAACCGAAATTTCAATAATTTTAACGTTAATATGAAATGCTGTTTCCCCCATTTGAGAAGCCCCATTTAGACGAATTTACTCATTAAAAACAAAGAAGTCTTGAGCTGAAAATAAGTCCACACAATAACAACGTTCAAATGACGGTGATTATTTATATTCATTTATCAAAAAAATATGAATGATCGCTTGTTTTTTAATAATAAAAACAAACAATCTTGTAGGAGAAAAGTCCAACCATCCATCCATAATTTCGTTGTTACTCACTGCCGAATTTACTATAAGACCCTGGCTTTGTAAAATGTAAGAGCAGCCATTTTTTAAAGTGTGTGTTTCATGGGCGGAAAATAATTGTGTGAGATTCAGAGGGA